TCTTAATACCATTTACCAGAGTTTGGTATTCTGAAGATATCTCCAAAATGTTCCATTCTGAGCAGCCCTGGCACACATAAAAGCCTTCATAATAGCCCCAAATCACTTGCTTTCCCCCTCCTCCACTTCCGTTCTCCCTAAACCTCCCTTCAATTCTGCAGCCTTCTTCTTTTAGCACTTCCTCAGATCTGGTCACTTCTGAAAGTGATGAGGAGGAGAAATGTGAAGCTACAAGATGTTCCCAGTTCCAGTCTAAAGAAAGGGCTTTCCCTAAAGCTGTCTGGTCATCTTCCTCTATTACTTACTCCTTATAAGAGCTCATCAACTCTTAAAGTTTCAATAACACAGATATTTCATCAAAATGAATAATGCAGACCTTAATTAACTCACCCTAAACTTCACCAACAGCCCCCTAACTGGCCTCCCTCATTCCAGCCTCTCCCACTCAAATATAGCCTTTGCACACTTTGCCATCAGTATCTTTCCAAACATTTTTTATTTTATTTTATGGCAGTGCTGGGGATTCAACCCAGGGCCTAATGCACAGTAGGCAATCACTCTACCATTGAGCTATATCCCTAGCCCCCAGATACTTCTTAAGCACTCACTCAGAGCCAGGTACTGATCCGTATTTCAAAGACACAAGCTTCAGTAATGCACAGTAATTAAACACACATCCTTTGGAAAGAGGCAGCCCTGGTTTTGGCAGAACCACAAGCAGCTTCATCACTTATTAGAAATTACTTAACCTCTCTTGAGTTTCCTTATTTGAAAATTGGGAGTAAGGCCAAGTGAAGTGGCACATGATTATAATCCCAGCTATTCAAGGGGCTGACAGGCAAGTTCAAGGCCAGCCTTAGCAACATAGGGAAACCCTGTCTCTAAATAAAAAAACATTAAAAGGGCTGGGGATGTAGCTCTACTAGCTCTCCTGAGTTCAATACCCAGTTTTTAAAAAAAAGAATAAAAAGGGTTATTTTTATTCCTTTTTATTCCTTTTTAAGGTTACAGAGAGAATTAAATGGAATAGTGGGACTGGAAGTGTAACTCAATGGTAAATGGTCAAATACTTGCCCAGCATGTGCAAGACCCTGGATTTTGTTCACCAATGTGGCAAAAAAGAAGGAAAAAGGAAATGGGATAGTGCATGGAAAACACTTAGCATGGTGCCTGGCACATGGCAAACACTCAATAAAATTAATTTATTAATTTTTATTTTTGCAGTACCAGGGATGCCCATGCTGCCCTTAAACTTGTAATTCTCCTACCTCAGCTTCTTGAATTGATGGGATTACACAGGTGTGTGCCACCACATCTAGCTATAGTCAGCAAAAATTAACTCAACAGCAAAAGCAAAGGGAGCTGTGTCAACTGGGCAGCAGAGATGAACATGTATGTTCATGTATATTCAAGTGGTTGTGGAAGGTGACAGCACTTTGTAAGCTCTGTGGGTACAGAAGACTGTAATTCTGATAGAGTGAAATGGAACCAGACCTTAAAATACTGGGTATTGAACTCAGGAGAGCTAGTAGAGCTACAAATGGAATTTCCTCAGTAGAGAGGAAGGGAAAGATTTTCCAGTTTGAACACTGAGCAAAGGAACAGCAGCAAAGAAGTGAGAGTGTTTGTGTAATCAATAATGGCTGTCTATTGCTCTATGCTATCCTGTCTAGACCATAAACTCCCCAAGGAGAGATACCTTGGCTTTGGATACAGGAGAGTACAATTACTCAGTTACTCATGCAACCAAGCAGTAATTTTACTCCAAGCATTGTGCTAGTTGGTAAGATTTTTCTGCCTGGTCCTTACCTTCATGAAGCTTTTATTTGAAAAAATAATAAATAAGAAATCAAAACAAGAACATTTCAGATAAGTTATATGTGGTAAGAAAATAAAAAAAACGCACTGGGTATAGTGGTGCATGGCTATAATCCCAGAAATTTAGGAGGCTGAGACAAGAAGATCAAAAGTTTGAAGCCACTTCCACAATTTAGCGAGGCCCTTAGCAACTCAGTATGATCCTGTCTCAAAATAAAAAATAAAAAGGGCTGGAGATGTAGCTCAGTGGTAAAGCACCCCTGGGTTCAATCCCCAGCAGAAAACAGAGAGAGAGGGAGAGGGAGAGAGAGAGAGAGAGAGAGAGAG